AGGAGATATCTCTGAGACAAATGTGAGTGATGCAAAGACGTTCTCTCCAAATGGTCCAGAGAGCCTCCTCAGCACAGGCATTACATAATATTTCTTCTGATCACTCACATAGCACAAATGAAGCCGGGTCCCAGTAGGCCAATCAACTGACAGCTGAAGGAGATTTATTCTCTCTTTTACGCTTGTCAAGTGCATGAACGTATTAAGGGATCAAGAGAAGACAGCACCAGGGCAAGACGGTACAAAGCAAAGTAGCTGGGGCAAAATAAACACCATGTCCTCTGCCAAAGCGTTATGGTAAGAGTAGGCTTTCCGGTATGGGTATCTAGGCAGAACAAGTCTGTTTGTACCATATCTTGAAAACCACCACCAAGGTGGCTCTGCCCTATAGTCAGTCAGTCAGTCAATAAGCATTTAAGTGCCTACTATGTGCCAGTCACTGTACTAAGTGATACCAAAAAAACCAAAACAAATAAACGACAACAACAACAACAATAAAAAACAGCTCCTACTCTATAAGAACTAAGTCTAACGAGGGAAACAAGATACTTTCTCCTCTTTCGGTTTCTATAACGATTTTCTCTTTCTTTTCCTATATTTCTGACTATTCCTTTTTGGTCTCTTTTGCAAACTCTTACTCCTCCTGCCTACTACATGTAGCCATCAACCAACAGTCTGTCCTGGGCCCTCTTTTCTTCTTTTCTTTTTTTTTTTTTCATTTCTCTTATTGAGTTCATTAGCCCCTATGATTTCAGCTATTATTTCTAGGTAAATGACTCCCATATCCATATACCTAGCCCTAATCTCTGATAAACTCTAGTCTTACATTTTTGATTGCCTGTTGGACATCTTTACCTGGATATCTCGAAGGAACCTCAAACTTAACATGTCCAAATCAGAATTCACATTTCCCCCAAAAGTCATCCCTCCCAACTTCTTTTTTTTTTTTTAGGCAATTGGGGTTAAGTGACTTGCCCAGGGTCACACAGCTAGTAAGTGTCAAGTATTTCGTCTGAAGCTGGATTTGAACTCAGGTCCTCCTGACAGATAGAGCCAGTGCTCTAACCACTGCACCACCTAGCTGCCCCTCCCAATTTCTATTAATGGCATCACCATTATTCCAGTCATATTTCATGACACTGGGATTTTTCTTGACTTTTCCCTCTTCTTCAAACCCCATATCTGAGTAGTTACCGAGTCTCATTGAAACTACCTCCATAACATCTCTCATAGCCATCCCTTTCTCTGTTCTAAATGGTGAGGAAATAGAAAAAGAATAGAAGCTCACCATCTAACTGGGGAAGACAGCACATGAAGGAAAGCTCTGATTCAGAGCAGATGAAAAGGCCTGAACATCATAAAGGTGTAGCTGCAATAATGACAGCCAAGCCTAGGAATACTTAGGATGCATTTGAGTGGTTGCTCCCCAATAGCATCCCGCCACCATTGGGAAGAGACTAATGAATTTTGGTTCAGAGTGGAGAGATGATTCTGGTTTCCTCTGACAGAGTTAGGAGAGGTGCTCATTGTCCATTCGGGTGGAGAAAAGGTAAAAAGGGGGAGTCTGGGGTGGGCTTGGTGGGAGAAGGTGAAATAGCCCGCCTGGGTTCCAATTCCTTTCCAGAAATAGATCAATAGGATAGCTACAGCATTACAAAAAGCAGTATAGTATTACTCCAAGCACTTATATCAGTTCAGAGTATCATTAACAGAGCATAAGAGCTCCTTCATACATTTGTGAAGCCTCACATATTTGGTCAATCATTTGAGATGTAAATTCATTGTTTAGAAATGATATGAGCAAGCTCTTGAGTCTGATTGTTATTCACACTTGAGTTTTAGTCTGTTTATCTCAGCCTTATTGCTTATTTGCTCGACCATCTGCATTGCTCCTACAACTTGAAAGGTTTTCACCTAATATCATGTTTTTGAAGAATCACCTAGTGATGTTATATGAGGTATGTCTATTTTTAAAAACACATTCATATTATTTTTTCAATCATCAAAAGTCTGCCTTCTCTCTCTTTCTTTCTCTCTCTCTTTTAAAGCCCCCTCTGATTGAGAATGAAATAAAGACCAAAAAACATTATAAACATGTGTAGTCAAGCAAAACACACTCCTGCACTGATTATATCCAAACATATGCATATATACATATATCTTCTATTCAGTAATTTGAGTCCTTTACTTCTCCTATCAGGAGGTGGATAACACATTTTACCATTCGTCACCTGGAGTTGTTGATTATTATGCTGATCAGAATTCTTAATTCTTTCAAAGTTGTTTGTCTTCACCATATTGTCACTGTATAAATTGTTCTTTTAGCTCTGCTCACTTCAGTTTACATCAGTTCATACAAGGTTTCTCTGAAACCATCATCTTTATCATTTCTTATAGCACAATAGTGTTTCATCATATTTATATACAATGCTTAGTTCAGCCATTGTGCTATTGATGCAAACCCCCCTCAGGTTCCCAATATTTGCCAACTCAAAAGGAGTTATAAATAGTCTCATACATCCTTTGTTAGAATTTGTTCCACTTAGGACTAATCCTTCCCTTAATCTACCCTCTCTCTTATCTTCCCACCTGTCTCTTCTATTTTCCTGTTGAGTGAAATGTGTGTGTGTATGTGTATTCTTTGCTTCTCTAACCAGGAGAGTGAAATACAAGTCTTAGCTGTTTCCCCTACCTCCTTCTCTCTGTTTGTATGTATGTATATGTGTATATAGATAGATGGATAGATAGATAGATACATATAGATATCTATATCTACATAGATATAGATATAGAGATAGATAGACAGATAGATAGATATAGATATCCATTTGCACATCTTGAATAGGATATAATTTTCCTTAACTTTACTTTCCCTTCCATCTCTTAGTGTATTCCTTTTTTCCCACTTTCTATTCTTGACTTAAAGATATAGTAGAATAGAAGAAACACTACCCAATCTTCTATTTAGTTAGACTCCCTCTATGATACTTGATGATCAGATTCAGAGGGGCTACATGTATCACCTCCCCATATTTGAATGTAAGCAATTTATCCTTATATGTTTTTATGATTGTTCATTCATATTTGCCTTTTTTTGTTTCTATTAACTCCTGTATTTGAACTTCAAAGTTTCTGCATGGCTCTGATCTTTTTATCAGGAAGGCTTGGAAGTACTTATTTTATTAAAGGTTCTTCCCTCTCCCCTCCATAGGATTATACTCAGTTTCACTGAGTAAGTTATTCTTGGCTATAAGCCTATATCCTTTGTCTTCTGGAATGTCATGTTCTAAGCTCTCTTCTCCTTTATAGTAGTGGCTGCTGTATCATAGTGTAATCCTGACTCTGTTTCCTTGGTACTTGAATTCTTTCTTTCTGGATTCTTGTAGCATTTTGTTTTCTTTTACCTGGAAGCTCTGAATTTTGGCTATAATGTTCCTGGGAGTTTTCATTTTGAGGTTTCTTTCAGAAGGTGACTGACGAATTTTTTTTTATTTCCACTTTGCCCTCAGGTTCTAAGAGATATGGGCAGTCTTCTTTTAAGATTTCTTAAAATCTGTTTTTTAGGTTCTGGTTTTAGTCATGGCATTCAGGTAGACCAATGATTCTTAAATTGTTCTCTTCGACATGTTTTCCAGGTCAGTTGTTTTTGCTATGAGATATCTTACTTTTTCTTCACTTTTTTTCCTAATCTTTTGACTTTGTTTTAATATTTGTCTCAGGGAGCCACTGACTTCTATATGGTCCGTTCTAATTTCAGAGAATTTGTTGCTTGGATAAGGTTTTGTACTTATTGTACCAAGCTGTTAATTTCCTTTCCAGTTCTTTCTTTGATATCTCTCATTTCTTTTACAATTATTTTCTCCAGCATTCTCATTTCATTCCTAAAAAATTTAATTTTTAAATGCTTAGTTGATCAGTTCTAGGAACTGTAGTTGAATTTGTTTCCAAACTTTTATTTCGTTTTGTTCTGAAGTTTTGCTTGTAAAAGTTTTGGAGTCATTCTCTTCTTCTGGGTTTGTGTCTTGAGCATCACTGTCATCACAATAGCTTTTGATGGTGAGATTCTTTGTTTGGTTTTGGTTGCTCATTCTCCTAGCCTACCTCCTGACTTTGGTTCTGATATTAGGATGGGACTCGGCAGATTTCTGGTGAGTAGAAGTCTGGGCTAATCTTGCTGTTGCCTTCTTAGGTTTTTAGTGTTATGCTATTTCAGGATCTCAGAGACAGCTCAGGTTGGGGTCCTGCAAACTTTCAGCACTCCCAGAGTGTTCAGATCTAGGGCAAAGTCTTATCACTGCTCCACTAGTCTGAGCTGTGCAAGTAACTGACCTGAGTCTGTACAAGGCAAGGGTAGATTGCTGTTTAACTCAACCCTTACCTGCTAGGTAACAGCTCTGTTGGTTTACAGTGCCAGAACTGCAGGCCCCCCTTTGTTCTGGGTTATTCCTCTGCAGGTTTCAGACAGACCTAGGAGCTGGAACTGAGACTCTGTTCTGCTCCTGAATCACACCCCTGCTGCTGGCATCTCAATTAACTTAACGCTGTCTTACTATACTGCCCGCCACTGCTCTTTTTCCTGAAATACAACCTCTAGGCACAGGTGCCCTTCTCATTTTACCCTGATTCTGTGACTGGAAAATGGGTGGAAGGTGACAAAACTACCAATTGGTACTTGTTCTTGTTAAAGTGCCCCATATGGGTCTAGAACCTCCTCTTACCCTTCATATACAACCTCTTCTTTCCACTGGGATGCTCTGCCCTTCTGGTTACTCTTGGCTAGATCTTATACTAATACTCCTGAGCTGGAAAAAAATGACTCACTGTGATTTTTTTCTTACATTTCCCAATCTGAATTAGTTCTAGTGCATTTTCTATATCAATTTAGAGAAGTTGTGGGTAGGTAGGTGGGGTTCACTATACTGCATCCTGCTACTCTGACACTTTGGCTCCACCTAGTATACCTAGTTTTTTAGGCTTTGCTGATGCAGGTGGGTTACAAACTCCTGGAGAATAAAAGTTTGCTGAGTAGAGGAAAGTTAGCTATGTAATATGAGCTAAGTACCAGTGATGTTGACACTTCTTTTTGATGAATCTTTTTTGTTGATCCTTAAGTGGGATGGAGCCTCCAAAAGGTTACTAATAACTCACAGATCCCTATAGTTTTAAACATTTTCACTTTCCAGGAGAATTTTGCAGGTGGTGAAAATTTCTTCCTTTGCTCTCAAGCACACTGTTAAGTTTCTTGAGGGTAGAGATCATGACCTCTACTTTGTTTCGGTATCTCTCCCAGTGCCCTGCACACAATAGCTTGTTGATTTGATTTGAATGGTTTCAACCACTCCCGATTCATCTGTCCATCTTTGCCAATGCCTGTCTCCTCTTTGGCTCCATCTCCAACTCTCCTTGGCTGGATATTCTGACATTATCACATGTAAAAAAGTTGCTGGCGAGTATATGAGGAGGCTCCTCTCCCTTGACCTCTAGCTCCAAATCATCAGGTCTGCCCATTTTGCCCTTTATAGCTGAAGCAGGATTGTTGTACCTCTGAGAGTAGGGGTGGATCAGCTCGCATGTGCAACACTGCAGAAATGCCATTGCTCCGACAATCTGTGGAAAAATAAATATTGCTCTGTATCATATGGGCTAAGTTAGCTGCTCCAGGGGCCAGATAATGACACAAATAAGATTGTGTAAAGCAAGATATTATAGTTTATTTCATAAGCTGCAGTGATATTTTTTGCAGCTCATGAAAAACAAGATAATGCTCATAAAAATAAGATATTATGGCAAAATCAGTATTAATTACCAGGAGTCAAAGTGCAACACTTTAGGCTGTAAAACTTTTAATATTCCAGAAGAAATCAGTTCTAGGAGCAGGCTAGCCACAATAGTTTAATCACTTGGCAGCTTCCCAGAATCTCTTGGTGGACAGCAGTGCCACGGCAGCAGAATCCATCCCAAACAAACAGCCACACGGCACATTGCTAATTTGGCTGTGATAACGAGGGGAAGACAGCAGAAGAGAGCTGGAAACTGCCATCCTTGCAATTTACCTTCCTAATAACAGTTGACTGGTTTGCACACAAAGCCCCTCGGTCAGCCTCTTTGGGGCTTTTGAAATGCAATGGGCCATTTGTTCCTCTCTTGCCAACCCCTCCCATGGCTGGTGACACATAATAGCTACCTGTGTTGTTTGTGTGAGTAGGAAACTCCACTCCCCTGTTGCTCCCCCACCATTGGCCCTTACCTTATGGAAGGGTCAGGGTCTGACTGGTTCATTTTCTCTGCTTCAACTCTGAGATCAATTTAATGACAGGTTCTCTCATGTGCCACAAGCAGAATCGAAGCCCATGTGTGTGCAGTGATAAAGCAGATCTGAAATGACATTACCACCGCCTGTTTGGTGACAGCTCAAATCAGACATCTTAATGTGTGATGTTATGGGAATTGCCCACATTAAGATAAAATATCCAGATTTAAGTAACTGTCTTTTATTCTGAATTAACTTGGAGACTGAACTCAAAAGCAAAAGCCAAAGATTTAGGGCTAGGCAATTTATTTCTCAGCCAGTTGCTGCCTTTGCTGCTTCTGTTGCTGCTTTGTTTTGCTGAAATGCCAATAATTGTTTCCGGTTTCACTAGTCAGTTCCTAAATATCTGCCTTTGCCTGCTGTAGCTTTCTGGATACTAGTCTGGGTGACTGGTGTAAATATTATGCTGCATATGTCATAAGGTCTGGAGACTGGAGATGTGTCATGTCCTCATTATAACCATCACATGCACCCTCTCCCCAGACTACTTCCTCCTTCCTTCTGGGTGGCTTGAGTTACTTTACATCTGTATGACCTAGTGTTGCCCTCTACTGCCCAGGATTCAATCGTCTAGTACCACTAATACTGGTAAGTGGTTCTTCTTCCCAGGTGCTCTGTGGGAAGCCAAAGGGAAGAGACCAAGCATTATCCATTTAGCTTCTAGTTGCTAGGAGTCCCTTGTCTGGCAGGTGCTGGCTGGAGATCTAGGAATGAACAGACAAGGGGCTAAGGTAGCTTTGTGAACTGATGTTGGGGCAGTAGCTACAACAGTTTTTCTGAGCTCTGCCCATTTGGTTGGCAAGGGACTTCCATCTCCCAGGCTGCCAACCTGGCACAAATCCCTGGGGCTTCCCAATAAAATCAAGGACCACTGCTAACCCTGTTAGATGTTGCATCCTGAGGGACTTGGCCCATTGCTCCTGGCTTTCCTCACAGGAATGGAGACAGACTCAGGAAGGATGTGCCACATTCTCAGCTGTAAGTTCCCTGCACCGTTTTGCTCCATAGGATTCACTCTAAACAGGACGCTGGAGTTGGAGAGAAGAAGACTAGGGTTTAAACTCTGCCTCAGACTTTTCTAAGCCTCAATTTTCTCAGCTATAAAATGGGAATGATAATAATAGCATCGACCTCACATGATTATAGCAAGGATCAAATGAGAGAATATATATGTAATAGGCATATATATGTGTGTATATATATATATATATATATATATATATATATATATATATAGAGAGAGAGAGAGAAGAGAGAGAGAGAGAGAGAGAGAGAGAGAGAGAGAGAGAGAGAGAGAGAGAGAGGTAGATATAGGCTCTAGAGCTACTCTCCCAACCCATACCTACATTAGCAATTTGGGTCATGCAAACAAAGCTATTGCTCTATCTTCTCTCAGGGTTTTAGGGGGTAACTCTAAAGGGTTGGGGTTCTCCTTCTAATGCTATAGTTCATTAGACCCCTTCTAGTGTGTTCTCCCCAAATCAATCAACTAGCTACCTCGCCTCAGTATCCTCTATCCAGCGATTAGTGCCCCAATAATATCTTGACCAATGGATACATTTTCATTATGTTAATGACAAATTAACATCAATTAGCTTTAATAAGGTGATATTTAATGAACAGATATAATAAGAACCAAAGTACAGAAACATCTTACCTTAGCCAATAGGGAGAGCGAGTTCAAATTTAAAATGATAGCAACAAAGTATTCTTCCCAGTAACTTCCCTTCTGGGTCAGCATTGCCAATGGGTGAGTTCTTCCCTTGCTTACAGGACACTTTGCAGGACCAAATGACTGTTGGATGGGGTTAAGCAGGTCACTGTTCTGGGTTGACCTCTCAACCGGCTTTGACATTACAGACATAAAAGACTGCCCATCATTGGATCTTCAGTATCTCTTCCAACCTACTGAAACTTACAAGGCTTTTCCATCTCCAATACTCATTCACCTTACAATCAGGAAAAAAAATAAACTTGATAGAGACAGAAGAAACAAAAGTTCCATGTATTCAAGGCCTCATGGAGTCAGGAAGACATGAGTTCAAATCCAGCCTCAAACACTTAGTAGCTATGTGACCCTGTGCAAGTCACTTAACCTGTGTTTGCCTCAATTTCTTCAACTGTAAAATGGGGGTTATAACAGCATCTTCTTCACAGGGCTGTTGTAAGGATCCAAGGAGGCAATATTTGTAAAGAACTTGATGCAGTGCCTGGCACATAATATGTGTTAGATAATTCCCTTCCTCTCTTCATGACAATAAAGTGAAAAATGAGTTCCCCTACTCAGAGACTTAAAACATTCCTTCCTTCTCACTCAAAAGCTTCCAGGGAGAAGAAAGCTTTCCTCTCTCTGTGTCTTTTGTATGCACATTCAGTTCTGGAACAGCAGCCAACTAAAAGGCTTTTTTTGGTGGCCATCCAATAAGTCAAGAGGAAATAGTCATCAAATATCTGGGTAGACTCTAAATGAAGGCCGCGGCTGCTCCATTATGCATCATCATGCATTTCCAAAAGCGAGTGCCCCAGTCCTCCATCAGGGGCGCCAAAGGGCAGAGCATACCATCTACTTCTCAAAGCACGGGGCTCCCAGGGGTCATTCCCTATTACATACAGAAAGTGTTTTGCAAACCTTAGAGTGCCAACCACCTAAACGCTAATATTTATGCTGACAGTTGTTATTATAACATCCAGAAGAGCCAGCCTGGGATCGAATCAGCCTGATGCAGTGACAGGGGAATCAATCTATATATTTTTTTTCCAAGGTGAGTGAGCTCAACAGGTCATCATAGCCCTGCCATGTGGTCCTGTAGGTTCAATTTGATTTAAATTCTACAAGTGTCTAGGACTGGAGCACAATCAAGTGACGAAGACCTCAGATCTGTGGCATCCCTGTGTACCTTAAAGCCGTCTGTGGTTTTTATTCACTGCTGCTACTGTACTCCAATTTGACCGTAAGTTCCTTAAGGTTAGAGACTATGTTTCAACTTTGCGTTACCTCCAGCACCCACTGCAGTGTTTTGCACATAGGAGAAACTTAATAAATTATTACTGCACCAATCCATCCATCCATCAACAAACCTTTGTTAAGCACATTCTATATGTCAGGGGCTATGTTAGGCACTGGATATGGTTTTATTATTTTCCCCTTCTCATAAAATCCATATAAGCAAAGGCTACAGAAAAAGACTTGGGGATTGGAAGGAGAGCCATAATGGTTGGATTTTCCAGACTGCGAGACCTCCATCTTTCCTCATGCATAGAAGCCACCAGCCTCTTGCTCCCATTCCTGCTTCCTGGACCCACCTGTTGGGCTAACAGGACGTGTTTGCTAGACAGTGTTCCTTCCTCTCAGGCTGCTGTGGCCAAGCACAATCAAGTAGAAGCAGCTCTTCAGGGAAATCCTTCAAAGGCCCCCTTGCCTTGGAATGCTACACACCATTTCCGAGGGCTCTTAAACAGAATAATTCATTAGTCAGCTAAGAACAATCAATATCACACTCCGACAATTTATACACTGCCTCTGTTTACCCAGAGGAGACTCTCTGATAATATTATTTATGATCCTAAATAACTCCATCGGTGTTCAATAGAGCTGGGGGGTGCCTTTGGGACCCAGGCACAATCAAATCATGAAGACTTATGGTTTGTTCACTTCTGGAAATGTTCAGATGCACTTCATTGCAGTGAATCTGGCTGCAGTAGCTGCCCCAGTCACTTCCATAACCTTCCTGATAGGGTTGACAGGATGGGCCACCTCTTTGGGGAGGGGCGGATTCTGGCCATGGCTATAAAGAGACTTTTATTGGGACTATTTCAGAGATTCTCAGAGCTAAAGGACATGGGAAACTGTTCAGCAGCTTCCAGATTGGAGTAGCAATTAGGATTCTGTGGAGCTCAGCCTAGAGAAGGAGCCGGGGGCCAGTATGCATGAATGATGGAGAGCATGGGGGAGAGGCAGACAGGGAAAGAGAGCCAGAAAAAAATGTGAGGTAGAGTAGGGGCAGCACCAAGGGTATGGAAGATGTGAAGGAATGAGGACTATGATTAAACATTATGTATTTGGAAGAGTTGAGTGTATTTCAGGGACAGAGTAGAATGATTGTCCCTGCATAGGGTATAGCAGCCCCACTGATCATTGTACAGACTATATCAGCCCCACTGATCATTGCACAACAATGGTCACACTTGGCAATCAATCAATCAATCAATAAGCACTTATTAAGCACCTCTTATGTACCAGGCATTGTGATAAGTGCTGAGCTACAAAAACTAAAATAAAACCATCCCTGCCCTCAAGAACCTTACATTCTAATAGGGTAAGCAATATGTATACATATAGATAGAAATAGAAAGCCAAATGGAAGGCAGATACCAGGTAATCTTAGAGGGGAAGACAACAGCATCTAGTGGATCTGGGAGAGACCTCCTTCAGAAGGTGACACAGGTTGAGTCATGAAGGAAACCAGGGATTCCAAGAAGGAAAGGTGAGGAGAGAAAGTATTGCAGACTCTGCAAAGGAACTGAGGAGCTAGAACATTGTTTTCAGTTCGGGCTTTCCTTAGAGAAGTTTGTGGGAGGGGTAAAAGAAGGGAATGGACTTAAGCAAACTAAGCAGAAAATTGTGTGGGTGACTTGGAGGAGCTTGGACCAATGGAATAAGTCAAAGGTTGTATTTAGTGAGAAGAAATTTTGCAAAATTTGAAAGAAAACTAGGAAATTAGGGAAAATGTGAAGAATGATTTCCAGGCCCAGCTACTCATCCAGGCTGTTCCAAGTTTTCAGAGAAACAGCTGTTCTTGTTCAGTCGTGTTTGACTCTTCCTGACCCCATTTGAGGTTTTCTTAATAAAGATACTGGAGTGGTTTGCCATTTCCTTCTCCAGCTCATTTGACACAGGAGGAACTGAGGCAAAGAGGGTTAAGTGACTTGCCCAAGGTCACATAGTAAGTGTCTGAGGTCGGATTTGAACTCAGGAAGGTGAATCTGACTTCAGGCCCCATGCTCTATCCACTACCCAAGGGAAACAG